GAACCTCAGCTTTCTTTCCCTTAAAAGGGACACACTTATTACAGTGCCTGGTATATCGAAAGCACTCAATTTCTATTAACAAAAAAAGATGACCAAAAAATAGAAAACAAACCAAACCCAAAAAGGGTAGTGGCAGGAACATTAAAAAGGCAAGTGTCACTAATAGAACCATTAATAAAAGTGACTGATAAATGTCAGGCATTAACTTATAAGTAAGCATCAGTCTATGGGATGAGAGAGAAAATAAAGGTGGACAAGATAAGCAGTCTAAGGTCAATTTATTTCAAGACCTGATATTAATAGTTATTATAGCTCAAAGAGATATCTCACAAAGATATGTGACTAAAATGGAATAAGTGCATCCTATCGAATTAAGACATTCATTTTTTAATCCTATTCAATATTTATAGAAAGGGTTTGATTAAAATTTGTATAATAAATTTCTAACTTCCCTAAACTTAATCAGTTGTTCTTACAAACTAATACAAAGGTATTATGTTTTTCTATTTTTAACAAATAATATTTGATACATACTTCACATTGGCAGCAAAATCACATTACAAATAACTGTTTTGAAAACTGCACTTTCCATAAGTTGGCTTTACTAAATGGTTACTTCCTAATTCACTGATAAAATGTCACCTTTCCTTTTTTTAAAAAAAAAATATATATTATTGATTTTTCACAGAGAGTAAGGAAGAGGGGTAGAGTTAGAAACATCGATGAGAGAGAAACATCGATCAGCTGCCTCCTGCACACCTCCCACTGGGGATGTGCCCAGAACCCAACGTACATGCCCTTGACCAGAATCGAACCTGGGACCTTTCAGGGCTGATGCTCTATCCACTGAGTCAAACCGGTCAGGGTTCACCTTTCCTTTAAGGGACAGATCATGAGTCTTCTAAAGTTTTTGCAAATATCTCTTGGATTGCTCACTATTACAACTTCCCATTAAAATAAACCCCACCAGATTAAGAACACGTATTTATTTATAAAAAGAAAATGCATAAATCATATTTAAGACCAAAGTCAAGGCACTAGTGAAAGAATCCACTTATTAAATACTAGTGAGCCCTAGCCACTTTGGCTCAGTGGACAGAGCATTGAACTGCAGACTGAAGGGTCCCAGGTTCAATTTAGGTCAAGGGCACATGCCTGGGTTGCAGGCTCGATCCCCAGTAGGGGACGTGCAGGAGGCAGCCAATCAATGACTCTCTCATCATTGATGTTTCTATTTCTCTCTCCCTCTTCCTTCCTTTCTGAAATCAATAAAAATATTTTTTAAAATAGTTTAAATACCAGTGAAATCTCACTTTCTTTTAACTTCAAGTAGATAAAAGAATAGATATATGAAGACATTTTATTATTCCCTTTCCATCGCCAAAAGGAATGGCTGGCAGGCATCCACTTTGGAAATTATAGATTTAGAGTATTCACAAGCGATCTGAAAAGTCCAAAACAAGCAGCAAGTTTCATTTTACTGAGGCATAAACCTGAATATCAATTTCAAATGTGATATGCAAGGACCAGGTACTGAGCTGGTGAGTAGATCGCGCCCACCAACTGACATCTGAACCTCAACCTAGCTTTGCTCCCTCCTTATACTCAACTACCCATTTCATAGGAGAAAGTACATGTTAGTGCAATATTTGCAAATAGAGGGAAATCAAAAAGTTCTTCAATCAATTAAAAACACAAATTTAGGGGGTGGCGGGGGGGGGGTGTTAAGAGATCAACCGAAGGACTTGTATACATGCATATAAGCATAACCAATGGACACAAGACACGGGCGGGTAGGGGAGGCCAGGGGACTGTCAAGGGCGGGGGAAAAAAGGAGACATATGTAATTCTCTTTGTAATACTTTAAGCAATAAATAATTTTAAAAAAACACAAATTTACATATAAATACTAATTAAAACTTGTATATTCATGTATAAAAGATGCAAAGTATAAAATTCTTTAAACTATAAATTTAAGTGTATGTAAAATCTAGAAGCTTAAAATGATAATCTTTTTGATGAATCTAAAATAATGAAAAGTATTTATGCCTTATAATCCTTATTAATATTTAATAATTTATAAATTCCACTACCAGGGGGAAAAGTGTTTAATATGAAAAAGGAAAAGTAATTCAATTAAACTTTTCACAGCAGCAGCATAAAATGAGAAAAATTATTCTGAGTTGAAAATACAAAACAAAAATAATCTCATGAAAATACATGATGCTTCTCTTTAATTTGACCAGGAGTTACTTACTGTCTGAGTAGTTGACGACCTTGTTTCCACATTAACTGGCTATTTTGTTGTGGCTGCACCTCTGTTTCATTACCTTCATCTAGAAAACATTAAATCATAATAAAACTGACTTGTCATATACATTAGAGGGTATCTCTATTCATAAAAAATATCTAAAAATATTTGTAAGATTAAGAAATGTAATACTGCACTGTAAGGTATGTTTCAGGACCATGTACATTCTGTTTTTAAGTCAAATTTCCATAAAAAAAAAGTCTGAATTCATTACTGCTACTGAATTTCCCTCGGAGTTGTAGAACTGAAATAAAAACATTTTCCAATTCCTTAGGCAGCCTGAGAATTTCCCTCTAAGACAAAGACCGATCCACATCAAGTCACACAATAAGAGTCGAATAAAAGTATTTGAAGTGCCAGGTCAAAATTAGAACAAAATACCCAGGAATGATGGCTTTTTAAAAAAGTTTGATTAAAGAGGAGGTAGGAAATAATCTCATTCCAAATCTACTTCCTTTACTAGTTATTAAATGAAAACTTCAAGTATTCTTTTTAAGACATTCTGTGAAAGAAAATCTCATAGGCCTCGTAAAGCTTTAAATTCATCACTTGGTAGAAGCTTAATCCTTTCAAGAAGGTGGTAAACTAAAAGAGCCTTCTCTGTGTTAAGTATAAACTAAAGAATTTCTAAACTATAGCATGGCTCTAACTTTAAAAATACAAAAAAGTTCACACTTTCCATCAGTCCCTGATTAAACTATAAGAAACTGTTATCTCTATAGGGTTTTATTCAAGTGAAGATACAAGAAAGACTGGGTATGTTTGTTTTATGATATTTGATATTACACATTTACTGTGCTCCAGATGCTGTGTTAAAATGTCTACAATATCTGTTTTAATCTTTACAACTCAAAAGATAGGTGTTACTACTAGCCTTGTTTTAAAGATGAGTTTTACATGTTAACTGAAAGGTTTCTAAGTTAGAAGTAGAGTTGTAAGTACTGACATCATGACTAACCCCAGAGCTCATGTATTTTCCTTCATATGCTATCACTACAACAATAAGAAATTAGAGAAATACATAAATTTAAAAAATTAGATCTTGCACTTTCATTTTTCTCCTAAAATAATGAGGCAAAGCTCTGTAATACACCATCTAGAAATATCAGTAGAGTAGACGGAGGGTAGAAAGTGCAGTCAGGGGATTAAGTTAACTAAAAAAGGAAAACTACTTTGGGATAACTTCAGAGGGTATATTTTCTTTCTTTTTTTAAAAAAAAGGCAAAAACAAAGGTCTCAATACTAAAGAAAAATGACACTAACTCACAAATTCAAGAACTGTGGATATAATACAGTATCTTTCAATACATCCCCTTATTAAGTCAAGTGAATAAATTGTACTTACCATGTAAAAACATTTATATTAACATTTCAAAAAACTAAAATTTCAGATGTGAAAGAACTTTTGAGGTCATCTAATTTCCCTTAATAACAGGCCTAAATCCTTTCTATACCATCCTCAGATATAGCCAACTGCCTGTGCCTAATCTGGCAGCCAGTGATGTCACCAAAGTGTGGTATAGCCATTCAATGGAATATTACTCAATAGGAACAAGGGATGAACTAATGACATACCCCCATATGAATTTCAAATGCATTATGCCAAGTGAGAGAAGCTAGAATTAAAAGGCTACATATTGTCTTTCAGGAAAAGGCAAAACTACAGAAACAAAAAACAGATTAGTGGTTGCCAGGAGATGAGAGTATTAAGCAGGGTGGGAAACATCCAGCCAGTGGGCCTTATACGGCCCGTGAAATCATCTGGTCTGGCCCTGCCAAGGCATTAGGGGTGAGCTAATTAAATGTCTGACCAAATGCAGCAGGCTAATTTTTAAGTTGATGACTTTGTATGACCCCAGAACAATGTTATAAATATCCAAATTGCCCTTGGCAGAAAAAAGGCTCCCCACCCATGTTAAACAATTAACTTGTTCGTGATCTCAGAATCCTAAAACTTCTGGTGGGCAGGTGTAAAGTAGAAGTGGGTGGGCAAAGTTACTTCTCAGAGGGCTGAGAAGAACCTTTTTTACTTGTCTAAATCAATCATCAATCAAGACTGAAACAATTGTACAAAGGAAAGAACGAACACAGGAAAAAGCCGATGGAGTACAGAAACTACCTGCTGACAAATTATGAGCAAGCTCGCAGGGTTCTGGCGCACTTCTGAAGAGAAATGAAAGAGTTAAACTGAATGCATATTTAATCACATGGGCCCAGTATGTGAATGTGAGTGAGTACTGTCAAGACGAAAGGAAGAATATTCGCTGGAACCCGATTTGAGTTTTTCTCAGCCCATCCCCTCATGTGAGAGATAGGATGTCGTGGAAGTCCTCACCTCTAGTACCTCTCAGACTGTAACTGCTTTGTAGGTAGGTTGTCAAAGAGAGAATTGAGTTAAAATGAAGTCTTGAGGGTGGGCCCTAATCCAAAGTGACTGATGCCCTAATAAAAGGAGACTAAGACAGCAGCTGAGTAGCTGTAAGAGCAAACATATGGCCTACAAAGCCTAAATCAGGGGTCCTCACACTTTTTAAAGAGGGGGCCAGTTCACTGTCCCTCAGATCGTCAGAGGGCCGGACTATAGTTAAAAAAAAAAAACCTAGTCGGCTGCTAAGCAACAGGCAGCAGCAGCAAAAACACCCGGGGCCGTAGTTTGAGGACCGCTGCTCTAAATCACTGAGCTACCAGGCCAGAACTACAATTCACCCATTTAAAGCACACTTTAAAGGTTTTTAGTTTGTTCACAGTTGGATGACCATCGGCACAATCCATTTTAGATCGTTTTCATCACCCCAGAAAGAAACCCTACATCACTTAGCTTCACCTCTCAATAATCCCCCTTCCTAGCCCTAGACAACCACTTATCTACTTTGTGTCTATATTTCCCTTTTAAATCTAAACTTGGCA